GTATACACGCAACAAGCAATCGAGACCAAAGACATTTTTGCGAATAAAAATTAAAGAAATATATGGTAAAATATTCAAGCATGAAATTGAGGAAGAAGAGGATGTAACATAAGTATTCTCGCAAGCCCTTCCGCCTACAAAGTGCATTTTTTATTGACATTTCTTTCTTTTTCTCTTTTTTCCCTTTTTATGTCATTTGTTCATTCAAACTTAATATCTTTCAAAAATAACAATGTTTAGAATTTTCATTTTCCATATTATATCTCTGTTACATTGGTTAAATCATAAAGAAAAAAAGAGAGATATTATCCAAAGAGTTCCAATGTATGCTATATAGTGAAATGTGCTAAATTATTTTTTTAAAATAGTTATTATCTTCAAATAGAAATTTTTCAATAATTGTTAAGGCTTCACGTGCGAGACACGTGAAATAGAGACTAGTACTATATTAAAGGCATAAAATTTAGGGGTGTACATAGGTCGGGTTGGTTTGGATTTTTTAATTATCAAATCAAACCAATGGTGTCGGGTTTTTAAATTTATAAACCAAACAAAATCAACAAAGTCGGATTTTTCAATCTCGATTTTTCTCGGGGTTTTCGGGTTTTTTCGGGGTTTTGGATTTTTTTCGGTAAAGTCTTCATGCATAAAATATGTAACTTGTGCTCCAAATATTTTTTAAGTCCTAGTAAAATACAACTATATAATGTATTTTTTAAGAAACTAACACAATAATATGAGATAAGTAATAGCATTATACTAAAATATTCAATAACAAAGATAACATAATAAAATTACATAAAATAAATATTGCTAATTAATAAGCCATAATGAAAATTAACATAATCTAAAAATACTACATAGGTCATGTTAAAATAAGTATAGCTAATAAGTACTTATATTAATTACATAACTAAGCACTAAAGAAAAAGATAAACTAAGTTATGCATTTTCATTATAAACCAATGTAAAACTAAAATAATTATCCAACACTATCATCATTCCTAGTATTGAATTGAATTTCTTTTGTTAGCATTAGTACTGATTTGAATTTTGTTTGAGTTACTACATTTATGGGCTTTAAAATTTATTTATCATTCAAGAATGTTAAGTCTAAACTTGAAATAATACGTTAAAAGATAAAAGTGTGAAAAAGTTTAAGAAATATTTATAAATTACATTACAATAAATATTTATATGTATAACATATTTTTAAAAATTATATAAATGTACTATCGGGTTGGTTTGGTTTCGGTTTGACTTTTTTTTATTTAAAATCAAACCAAACCAATTATGGTCGATTTTATCTTCCAATATCAAACCAAACCACATCGGGGATTTTTTCGGTTTGACTCGAATTATCGGTTTGGTGCGGTTTATCGGTTTTCTTTGTACAACCCTAAACTCTTAGTGAAATGTCGTTCGTCTTTTTACCCCGTAAAATCTGATTTCACATTCGATGAAATTAAAATTTAAGTTAATTTCCTAATATTTAAGATTTTAAAATCAACTAAAATTTTGGTCATTAAATATTTACTTATTGAACTAGATAAGAATTTTGAACTTTCAAATTAATTATAATATTATCTTATATAAATCAAATAATTAGGTTATAATAGTTTTTCTTTTTATTGTACATAGGCCTGCAAAGTAGGCGCGTACATATCCAGTTTCACCGTTAGTATTTGAGATAAGTTGATATTCAATTAATTCTTTCTTCATGCTCATTTTTTTCAAATATTCCTTTAATTAATTTTTTTTTGTGTGTTCATTTTTTCTCAAGAAATCTTTGGAAGATCTATTAGTTGAGTGGAATTCTTTGTCCCCGTTTTAGATGCATAGAGATTTGATATTATTAACAATACATATTAAATTAAACCGAAAAGGATTAAAATTGTACCTATACAATCGAATATTATTTAAAATTATCTTTTATTATACTAATTGGTCAATTAAATCCCTAACGTTATATTTTTGCTCAAATTTACCCCTAATTTAGACAGCTGACCACGTGTAATACCATAACTTAATTGATTCATCCCTAATTTTAAAACACCCGAATCTAAACAACCCGTTACTCGACTCTAAACCTCACCCCACTGACCAAAAAGTCCCATTCTTCATCTCTCTATCCGGAAAAACCAAAGAACCTCTTTAACCCCGAAAAATTGCTGTTCTTCCAATATTTCAACTTCAATGTTCTTCCACTTCTATGTTAGGTGGTGGTTTTGGGGCGGTTGTTGGTGGAGATGGCGGAGTTTCCATGAACGATGGTGACTGACGTGGCCGTCATTATCGGAGGTAAAACCCTTACTGCAGGTGCACCATCGGCGGCAAGCAAAAGTTCGATCACGGCCAGTCAAAGTCCATTCATGTGACGGTCAAACAAAAAACAAAGTAGAAACCAAACACTGGCGCCACAGAGAATCAGAAACGCGTCTGAAAATTGGAAGTTTGAAGATAGAAGACAGAGTAAAAAACTTTAGATTTTGTAAAAAAAAAAAAATTAGGGTTGAAAAATTAGGTTCTTCCAAGTTGTTGAATTGATTTCTGGTCATGTTGTCAATCAATCATCCAAAACTGTGAGCATACCAAAAGATGTAGGCGATTGAGAAGTGGAATTGACCTGGGCAATTGTTACTGCAGTTGGGTTTTGTCACTAACTATATCGTGAAAGTGGAACTGAAGTTTTGTCATTTTTGGTTTTGCGTGGGAAGCTTTTACAACCATTGTTCTACTTCTTTGGATCCATGTTGTTTAGTAGGAGTAGTTGAACGCCAATTATAATTATTCTCTTCTTCTTTCTATTTTGGTGTAATTGCAATGCGAAAGGAGATGTTCAGATGGGCCGGGGCGGTTTAGAGGGGATTCGGGTTTTTAAAGTGAAAATAGCGAGCATTTGCAAAGTCATTGAAAAGTAGTCTCTATTTTGGTGCAATACAGAAAGTTCCAACATAATATACTGGAGATTGGTGCACATGTGTATGAACTTCCAGCATATTACGCTGGAACTCCAGCACACGGAAAGTTCCAGCATAATATATTAGAGACTGGAGCACCTATGTATGAACTTTCAGCATATTATGCTGGAACTCCAGTATATTATGTTGGAAGTTCACATGTAAAAAATTCGAACTGGAATATTTTTCGGATTTTGAACAGTATTTTCGTTCAGATTTATCTTTACATAAAAAGTGATTAAATTTTGATTACTTTTTAAAATATGACTATTTTTCAATTACTACTTGTAAATTTAACTATTTTTTAATTTTACCCGTTTTTTAAATTAGGGATGGGTCAATTAAGTTCTGGAGTGACATGTGGCCGGCCGTCTAAATTAGGGGTAAATTTGGGCGAAAGTATAACGGTAAGGGTTCAATTGACCAAATAGTATAATGGAGGTTAATTTTAAATAATATTCGAATTTTGACCATTTTCCGTAAACTAAAAAAAAGCACGAACATATGTGAATTTGATAAAGCAATTTAAAGTTTCATTTAATGTTCACTTTCTTTAAAAGGAAAAATATGTCAGTTTATATAATTATATTCTTGAAAAATATACTTATGTTATTAAAAACCAGTCCATCTTTTGATTACCTATAATTTTTAACCCTTTTCTTTGGTTATTTTTATTTTATTTTTTACCATCTAAAAATTATGCATACTATGAAAATTTTAAACACCAACTCTTGTAAAATATTAGCTCAACATTAGTCATTTTTAGAGTTTATATTGTTACTTATTATTTTATTTTTTTTGTAAGAGTTATAGGCGAAAAGGTACCGTGGCAAAAGTTTTCTAATTTATTAATTTGTTTTCGGTATTGGAGCACAAAAATAACAATAATTATAACAAGATATATATTCCTATAAAACGTTGGGAACTTCCATGTGGTAGAAATTTATCCTTCATATCTACAAACATATTTTTATAAAGTTACACTTTTTTTTATAGTTCAAACACAACTTTTAATATTATTTATGTTATTTTAAAATAATTATTTTACTCATTGGCATGAGAAACACTCGTAAAGCGTTTACCCTGAGACTAGTACTGATAAATTAAGGAGCATCACTTATTTCTTGTTACTAAGTATCAAGAGATTCTTTTGGTTTGAAGACATGTTATGGTAGGATTAATTATGGTGGGATTAGTTATACTGTATTAGTTATCCTGATATTATTTTCTTATTGACAGTTTGATATGTTATATTAATCATGGGATTGTTAACTTATCCTAAGATTACTATTTCATCCTCTGAAGGCCATAAGTTATCCTAGTACTATTTTTAATTCTGGGATAACTTATCCCGAAATTAGTACCCAAACACAGGATAAGACAATATTAAATTTTTATTCCAAAAATATTTTTGCTTATCCATCTTACCAAACAACTCTTGCACATCTCAAAATTAATCTTGCGTACATGCATTGCCTTTGTTGGCCTCTTGAAAAAAGACAAATGAATTCATCTCTAAATTAATGAGCCGATGATTGTTAGAACAAAAGAGAGGTTTTTTCCCTTAGGTAATTATCTTTCATTTTTATCGCAGTATAATATTTTATTTGTCAAAATTAGAATATCTTTTAAATATTCCATTTGAAGTTGAAGATAATTTACGACTAGTCAACTACTCCATTAGACGTCCCACAGGTGTCTTGAAAAAGCAAATTTTTGCCCTAACGTGCAGCCTTGTAATCTAATAGTATATTAATATATGTGTCCTAAAATACTCCGAATATTAATTGACATGAAAACCTGAAAGATATAGCAATAACCTTTTTTATAATAGGTGTAAAAGAATTATATTATCGATCAATATTTATAAATTATACAATCAAATTACTTGAAAGATAAACGAAATTAATTGTCTGCATAACTTTTTACGACAGTATATTGACAGTGTAAAATGAATAATCACGGATACAATGTTTATTGTCCATTTACTTTACGAAAGAATAACTCTATTTTACACGCAATTTTTTTTAATTCAATTTCTTAAAAATTAAGAAATGAAAGGTAAGCAAATAAAGACATGGCGATACAAGACCAACCTAAAGAAGTAGATGAACTACTGCTTGCCGGATAACCGCGAGGTAACGGCCGAACCCCACTGTTTCCTCCAATATTTCTTCCACCGCCGCCGCTGCCACCACCGCCGCCTCCAGGACTTGTTCCTCTATTGTTTGAGCCACCACCTCCCTTTACTCCGCCACCACTACCTTTGGAACCGCCACCAGATTTTCCACTGCCACCACCGCCGCCACCTTTACCTCCACCGCCACTGCCACTGCCACCGCCACCTTTACCTCCACCGCCACTTCCACCGCCACCTCTTCCTCCTCCTCCTCCGCCGCCGCCGCCGCTTGGAGGAGCAACTGCTGATGTTAGGAGGAGAGAAATGATAGAAAGCACAAGGACAATCTTTACGAGGTTCCTCATTCTATTTCACGCAGATTTCTAGTAGTGTAATAATCACGTATTTTACTTAGGAGGAGGCTATTTGTGAGAGAAAGTTTGGACAAGTTTTGGCTTTCGTTCTTTGTTTTATAGTGTAAAAATGAAAAAAAAAAAAAATGGAATTTGACAAGTCTTGATCCTAATGCGATTGTAGTTATGTTCGACAAGTGCGTGGTTAGAAGAAAAAAATACTCCAAAAGATAGAATAAGGGTCTGGTCTTTTTACATATAGGATGATACAAGTAACTATAATATAAAATCGACATTTCTATTGCACGTTATAGTTTTGAAAATTCAAAACTGGCTAATCAATCATTCGAAAAGATTAAAAGAATAAAAATTTGTAAGTGGTCTTGAACAGGCTGGATTCACTGTTTTTTTGTATAGCCGATATACACAAGTATACACGCATTATACAAGGTTATAACTATATCAAATATTGATTATACATATGTGATATATTCGCCAACTAATTTTAGTTTCGCCAACTAATTGTAGTTTAAGAGGTTGGGAAGATCAAATCCCTCTAGGATAACCAAATTAGTCCAATTAATGATTTTTGACCATTTCTACATCGGGACTAATTCTAAATACAACAACAACAACAAACTCAGTAAATTCCCATAAGTGAGGTCTGGGGAGTATATTGTGTACGCATACCTTACTCCTACTCAAGGAGGACAGGTTATTTCCGATAGACCGTCGGCTAGAATAAAAAAATAAACTCTTTATTGCCTCACAGTAGACTTCTTCTAAACTTGACTCACATTTCCCTTATTAGGAGGAGTTCCCAATTCCCTTGAACACTCCTATTTTTCTTCAATCAGATTAAACAAAGTGCAAGAAAAATCAGACTTCAGTAGTCAACTTATACATAATTTGTTACCCTTTAATTTGCTGGTTTCCTCTGTTTCAACAATGGGCAGGCAGCTTTTGCTGTTTGCAAAGAATGCTACACACCACTTTAGAATATCAGTCTACACATACTTGAGAATGTCAGATACAGAATTGGTATAGTATTCTGGTTGGACTTGGAGTTCCTTGGATAAATCTTGAAAAGCTGATTCATTAACTACACCTGCAAATCATAGCAGCAAAGACAATATTTTTTTTACAAAGCTATTATTGAAAGTTACAAATTGGTAAAAAGGTCAAAATTGCCCCGTCCTATCCGAAATTGATCAACTTTGCCGGTTCCCCTCGGTTAGACTTCTGGTCTAGTATTACCCCTGCCGTAAGGAAAAAGTCTCGTTTTTGCCCCTAACCCCTACGGGAGCTCAAAGCTAAGAGTAATTTTAAACCATAGTAAAAAATTGACAGGTAAATTTGGACTTTTTTCTCGAAGAATTTGGACACGTGGAGTCTACTCATTTCATGTTGGAGCTACGTTAGCGACAAGAGATAATAAGAGATGATTTGGTAACGGTAAGGGTATGAACTATGAATTGACCAAAAGTGTATGAAGAGCAAAATTAAACAATATCATATAGTAAAGGGGTAAATTTTGGGCCTTTTCCTGAACAAATTTGAGGAAATTGAAAGCATTCATATACCTGAAAAAACAAGGAGAGTTCTACACCCGGCGTTCTGTCCAAATAGAATATCAGTGTCCAATCTGTCGCCCACCATACACATCCTGGATGTAGTGATGTTATATCTGTTGAATGATAAATGGAACCAATTTAGAATGCAAATAATTTTGCAACTCTCAAACTCCCATGACATCTACTCAATGCTAGAGCTCTTCCAAACTCATCGTTCAACTACAATCTGTGTCACCAACCCAGAGGCCATCTATTCATAACTAGCTTTCTCAAATAGGTTAATTTACTAGGCTGCATAAAACTTACTTCTGCAATAGAAAGTCCATTAGAAAGGTCGACGGCTTCCCAACTACAATAGGCTCTTTTTGGGTTGCTCCGCATACTGCAGCAACCATACATCCCGCACCTACAGTCACAACCAAAAAGGATCTTTACAAAAGTAGCAAGCATTTGCAAGAACACTGAAATTGAAATCAATCTTTATTGATGGACACTAAAATGAAATTCACCAGGCCACTCTTGAAGATCAGTTAAATGTCCCGATGCATCACGGTTAGTCGCAATAAAGAGGCAACCAGGATTCTCACGGATGCAAAGAGCTCCATACCTACATGCAGCCACAACAATGCCATTTCAAGGATCACTTTAGCAAATGGCAAAGATGCCAGAGATGAATTTGTCTTTCAGCTTTGCTTGAAGTACCTCATTTGAAAACATATTTTCCAATTTTCAAAATTATTAGGAAACAGCATTCTTTCATACATTTACTTTACCAAACCCCTTCAATAACACAGACATCATATAAGAATCAGAAGCTACAATTCAAGTATATCAAAAAGGGAGGCCTAGAAAGAGACATACTGTAGCTTATAAAAGTTGATATATTGGTCAAGTCCAACAACAACAGCTCCAACCTGAAGATAGAAATAGCATTGTCTGTGCTCAGTAGACAATAATGGAAAAAGAAACCTGTATTAGTTATTGGAAAGGTGTACTTTACGCTCTTATCATGCTCAAAGAGGCAATTTGATTTCAGTTCAGGGTTCTTCTTTCCATCTGCCTGCAAGAATGTTCGAATTCAGCTGCAATGCCTAAAAATTATACTTCCTATCTAAAGGGTGTCTATACATATAACAGCACTTTAAAACTCCCAAAATATGTGATGTTCAATTATACTAAATTAAAGAAAGGGGAGAGAGGCTATTGCTGCACAAGTGCTCAGATGAAAAAAAGGATGAAGGGGAGAGAGATACAGAGAGTTAGAGTGACTACCAGATGTTTCAGACTTCCGATATGTTATTAGGCTAAATTATTATTGAAAATTTGATATCAATAAAACGTAATGGGAGGACGACAGCACCTAAATACCCCACAAGATGCTCTTCTAATCCCAACATTATCCAATTCCGTCACACTACTTACTAAGAATATGAGAGCACAGAGGATCACATACCGGGCCACCTAGTGCTGTAAAACCAGCTAGCTTCAGTTCTTCCAGTATGCCTTCCTCGCCTATTACATAAACCTGCCAAATCAAGTTCAGGTCTAACTTAGATGAGCCGGGACAATTAGTGAGGAGTTAGGCGATAATGAAGTCACAGTAGACTATGCTTCTGACAAGATGCTTTGGTATGACCTCAATGCGGAATGCTTTTCGGGAAATAAATGAAGATGTAAATAAGCTGCATAATCAAATTTTGGGCAATGACAAAACTTGTGAAATTTTTTTAACTCTGCCGCAACAACCCAGCATCTCCAATTACAAGAAAGAAGTTAATGCGAAAATTGGGAAATCTATTGAAATTTGAAAAGAAACAAGCAGACAAATTAATATTTTGGATTTTGAGATAGAAATGACAAGACCACAATCACGCACTATACAAGATACAACAAGAATTCCTATGCAACAATGAACTACAAAACTTAGAAACTCTCATTGTCTGACATATGTAGAAAGTGATCAAGTACAAAGGAAAAACTCTAGCACGTTGGCAACAAAATAGTGCATAACCCTTGGGATCTCAACTTCGCCACTTACTGGTGATGTTACAAGCAGGTTAATGGTGTTAGCTAACCCCATTGGACTCTTCCAGTGTAGTTTAGGAGATTTGGCTTAAAAGGTCTAGCTCATCAAAAAGTTTCAGATCATAAATCACAATGTCTTTTGCGGGTTCATTTCCCAAACATTTTGGTGTAAATAAAGAAATTATCATTATGAAGACGTAAGATCACTTCAAACATAAAATTATAAAGATGGTGGCACAAGTAAATGAATCCTTTAAAAAAATTTATCAGTGCATTCAAACTTTTTGTCCTTTTTTAAATATTTCGTCAAATTCAATAGGGGTAAAGATTCTTTTTAACAAGGTGAAATATTGGAAATTTGTATCCAGATTTGTTAATATCTATAATAAATCTATCCACTTATCTAGCTCTACTAGATTTCTAACTTTATTACCTTACATATTTCTTTCTCTTTTGGTTTAATTGCACTTTGTTTAGATGAACGAAATTACCTTTATTAAAAATTGAAGGAAATTACAAAGGTTTTCCATCCGATGGAACAAAGGTTATTGAGACTTCAACAGTAACATTAGGAATAACACTAATGCTTAGTTTGGAATCTGGTCTCTAAATTGTGGGAGGCAACAATATAGTTGTGTGCCACTTGGAGCCTCGTTAATGTTTTGCAACATATTTCAAACCATAAATACAAACCTTCAGTTAATCAGCAGAACAAATCTTTGATTTAAACAGTACCGCATGTAATTTGTATAGCAAGTGAAAGTGGATTTCAGAAAACTTTTATCCAGATCATCAACGTTTAACATTGCACAACTAGAATACTACTTACCATACATCAGATCAGCAAATTTCAAAGTGTCCCCTTCTGATCAGATATTTATTAGATATCTACCCATATACACTCAGGTGAATACTCATGATAACTAACCTTCTTTTCTCTTGGAAAATCATTGACTTTCAGATACATTGCTGCAGCAAATGAGGACGAGAATATCTCATCCTGCAGAAACAACGAAAATTTACTTCTACAAATTGACAGAAATGTAGTTTTGGTATTTGTAATACTAATAAAAACTAGAATTGTAAAACCTCATTAACAGGAATTCCAAGGGAATGGAACTTCTCAGCATATTTCTTTCTTGATTTTGTTGAGTTATTTGTTACAAATACCAGCTTCTTACCCTGCATATCAACAGCATCTCAATCTCAGTATACATCATACACAGTCAGTTATACAAGCATAAAAAATCCACATGAAAGTGCCAACTTTGCTGAGGGCATATGCATCTCAAGATAGACACATAGCTATTACATGAATACACATCCACACAAAAGCATATAACTTTTGGCTGTTGTGAATTTGCGTCTCAATTCATGCATATGCACACCCAGAGATGTGGATGGCCATGTCCA